ACGAAATGTCATTTTCAAAAAAATTTATAAAAGATAAAAAAAATAATTCTTTATAATTTTTGTTATAAAAAATTTCTTAATGTTGTGAAAAAGTATTAAAAAAATCGAAACATGATTTGATATGAAAAGAAATATTAAAAGAGCGAGAAAAGGATTAGATTTGCAATTGATGTTTTCAACATTGGAAAAGAAAAAAATATTTTAATCAATGTGTCTCAATTAATATATTCCAGGCATATGTATATATTTTTTATATTTCTATTCTATTAAAATTATAAAATATTTAAAAAAAAACAAATTAATTTATATAAGAATATATATCTATACATTTTTATATTATATATTAAAGGATTGAGTTTATTAATAATAAGTATGTTAAATTTTATTAATATTAAAATAATGAAAAAATGTTTTTTTTTTTTTCTTTTGTAAGTACAATACCTAAAAAGATAAGTATAAAAAGTAAGTATATTAAATTCTAAGAAAAATTTCGCGCATATATCAATTCTATGTTCCAATTGAAAGATTTGAAGAGTTCTTGGAAATGATGTCAAATTTTTGGAATTTTTCTAAAATTCTTGAAAATAAGGCTAAATTCCTGGAATTTCTGAAATTCTTAGAAATGACGTCAAATTTCTAGAATTTCTAAAAATTTCTAAAAAATTTTAGGCTCGGATCTTAAAATTTATATTCGTTTACAAACAAAGATTTGTTTATTTACATTTTCAATATTTATTTATATTTTTTTATTGTTGATTTTGAGAAAATTCTTGAAATGACATCGAATTCATGGAATTTTCGAAATATATATATTTTTTGATCAAATTTTACTATATTTACTTATCCTTATCGATACTTATCCTTATCTTATCTTCTAAATTTTTTGTCTATTCATATTTTGCTATTTTATTTTTTACGGTATTAAATCTTTTCAGAAATATTCAAGAGATGGTACTGATTTTTAATTCTTACTCTGTTTTTAAAAAAATGATATCTTTGATATCTAATAGGTGGCACTGACGATCAATTCCTCTCTAT